CAGTCCAACATTTCCCTGAGACTTTAAAAAAAAAAAAAAAAAGAAAAAAAAGAAAAGACAATGCCAGCTCCAACTGGAATAATATTTACGATATTGTAAATCGCATTTGTTCACAATAATATTAGTTTGTTTCTTGTTACTGCCACAGATCAGTGGTGGATGGAGCTCTCTGATAGCTAGCAAGTGACATTAGAAGTTACGGTGCGAAGGAGCCACAGAGAAGGAACGTCTATTGAAAATATTAGCCTGTAAATCATACCGATATTTACTATACACTGGAGCTTGTTGAAGGGACGTGGGAGATGTATTTTGTATTTTCATAGCTAAAATAACATCCTCTCCAGAAATAACTAAGCAAGCTAACGTATAGGTCCATGAGCAGAACAACACTGGTGCTATCAGTCCACTGATTGCTGTCGTAAAGCATATTTAAGCTTGATGTTCATTCTAAAAACACTTTAACTGGTACATTACTCGCAGGGACACCCTTTAGACTCGGTTATATAAAATGTTAACATTACTAGCCTCTTAATTGCTACATGGTGAATCCCCCTAAGCAAAGCTAGCGTTAGCATAAATTAGAAAGTTTTGAAAGTTATCCCTTAGCAACCTTCAAACTCAAATGGGCAGCATTCAGCAAAAAAAAAGTTACAGCCTTTGTCAAATTTGGACTGAGATACCGGTTACTACCTTTGCAGATGTGCGCTCCAAACGGAAGGTGGGAGTCCTCTGGTGTTTATGCTAGCTAGCCTTAGCAGCCCTGGGCTCGGTGGTCCTGAAGAGAAGACTGAGATATTAGAGAACTTTGCTTGAACAGGGACTTTATTCTGCCTTGTCTCACCGAACATAATATTTGTCTTCTTATGTTTCGTATACTGCACTGCGAGCTTATCTAGTCACTTTTTTAAGCTAACCACAGGTTTAGCACGTACATCACTGCACTGACGGCTTCCCCAAATAGACAACACTGCTTCCAGTGTCACAGTCACATTGACCATAAACTCTTAAAGGGGAGGCCTGACCAGTAACAGTGACAAATATCCACAATCCGTTAAACATGACCCATTGCTGTCTGTGGCAGCTGATTTAGACTATATGGACCCAATGGTCACACTGACCAACAGAAACAAGTGAGGATACACTCGTCAGAGGAGTGTCACGTACCAGGCCCATTACACAACAAGAAAAATGTTATTTCCCAAAATATCGGTTTAGTTTTCCAGTATTCCTCATTTCCTCTAAAATGTCCAGTCGTCGCTGCCTTGTTCCCACAGATTTCCTCCACTGAACCTGCATGTTAAGTACGGTGCCACTAGGACACAGTAAGATGTTATTGGTGCCTGATTCGTGCAACACATTATTCTGTTATAAAGTGTTGTTAAATGCTTTGGGGAGAGATTGGGTCGGCAGTGGCTTTTGTCTTGTGGATGAAGGTTTTCCAACATGTCAACATGTGCGGGTTCTAATGTTCTAATGTCATTTACAGCTGACATATGTGATATATTTTATATTTGTACATTTAAACTCAGAAATGAGCGTGCAATAAAGATTTCAAACTTGTCTTAAGCAGAAAATGGAAACTCTAATGTACATTCAAATTAAAAGCCTAAAGTCATTTGAACTGACAAAGGTCACTGGTTGCACTGACTTCCCACTGTGAAACACTGGGCACACGCACCAGTGATGCTCTGAGTCAGTGTGTCAGGAGGAGGAAGGAAAGCAGTCAGGACGGATGGAAAACTGGCTGACACGTCTGCTTCAGTCTTTTCAGCAGCCACTTGATCAGCTTGATGCTTTTCCTGAAGATGCTCAGTTTGATGATCTTCTGTTTTGTTTGGTTCGTACAGATGTTTCTGATCCACTGTGATGAAAACTCCACAGGTACAAATGTCACATTTATTACTGGTAACACTTTAATAATTCTATTAGTCCTGTGTTGACTTTTGTTACATATTGCATGATTGTTGAGTCATTATATTGTGTTTCTCTGTAAAGTTGATCTCTATCACAAGGTTTTCACTGATGCTACACTGTTACAGTTTAAATCATATCATCTGATGATTGCACTGTTATATTTAATGAAAATCTTAAATCATGTTGTGTTATTGTTGCAATGTTTGTCTTTTTATGTTTGTATATTTATACTGCGGTTTTCTAATACTTATACAGTAGTAAGAAAAGTAATACGTTTCTGTGTTATTTATACTTCATACTAACTGCAATTCTTTACCTAAAAAACAGCATAAAACCAATTGAATGTGCACTTTTCATCTGGTAGTGATGACATGTAAATGCAAAAAAAGAAAAAAGTAATGTATTTAACATTTACTGCAGAGTTTTCCTGTCCACATGAATGTTTTTAGTAAATGTTTAAGTGCTGTTAGTTCTGTAAGCAGCATTGATCACACTTCCAGTAACTGATGACTGTGAGCATGTCTCCATGGGATAAAACACACTCACACATACAACAGGAAACCAGGCTATAAACTCTCCTCAGGATGAGTGACACAGCTCCATGTCTGCAGCTGCTAAATACAGATGGCATGACACAGCCAGGGTGATGTGAGAAATGATTCCTGGAGACCTTTAGAAAATTTCCATCTGATGGACAGAACCGTCATAAACATAAAGTCATGTGTCTAAGCCAGTGTATATATACTTTACATATTAGCTTCCAAAATGGATGTGAACAAGCAGGTACACTGTATGTGATAAGAAAACAGGTAATTTGTTAGGGTCGGCACGTAAAGCTACCGATGATGTCGAGGGTGAACTCAATTATAACGCCAGACAAACATAGGTAAAGTATAGATTCTTCACTAGCAACACAAAACAAACAGAACAAAAGTCCAGTATCCAAATCAGGTCACTACTACAATCCAAGGTCAATGCCGGCAAACACACACATCCGAGGGATCCACAATCACGAGGTCAGAGAGGAGATATCTGAGGGTCAGTACACAGCAGGCTAGAGGTCTAGAGGGTGACAGTTTCTGGTCTGTGGACCTCCTCTCTTCTCCAACAGTGATCCGGGTTTCTGTCCCGGAGGAGCACCACCTGTGTCTGCCCTGTGGTGACTTTGATGCCTCAAATGTGGTCTGGACTCATGGGGGCAGGAAGGTCCCTGTGAACCCACAGGGAGACTCGGAGACCAGAGAGGACGTGCACCACCGGCTGCTGTCGCATGGAGATCTCTGCCTCCTGCAGCTCGATGACTCTGACAGCGGCAAGTATCACTGCAACCAGCAGCTGGTGGCTGAGTTGCAGGTGCTGACAGGTACACTCAGTTTTTAGAGTTCCCACAGTCTGGGCTTTCTCCATCTTTTCACAGCATTTCTGTTGGTTAGGCTGGAGGCCTGTTCAGTGATCCATGGGCCCAGGTCACATCACTAGGAATAATTGTTGCTGGGAAATACTGATGTAAATAACTTCATTATGTGTGGCACTGAAGGAGTCTTCAGTCTGTGAACAGTGCAGAAACCCTAGATCACTGATTTCTGCTTTCATCGAAAAAGTCCGGCTGTTGCTTGTTCCTCTTACAGTCGACCTGTTTTCATCCACTGCTCCTACAGTACATTCACACACCAGTGTGAACCAGTCAGTGTCTGACGGTGCCTGACTCATACAGCTGTGAGCTGTATTATAAAGTGTTGACCAATACTTTTATTTAGACAGATTAGTGACTCAGACAGAATTTCTGCTCAAACAGTTGGTGTGTTTTCACATAGAAGTATAGTACAGCAGTGGAACCCCCTTCATATATGTAATATACCAGCGGCTGACCACCCCTGTGACAAACACCCACGATTCCTGTTTGTTCCCGGCCCCGCAGGTCATGACTTCCAGGTGTCTGCAGGCTGGACGCTGCTGCTCCCCTGTAGCCGCTCCTCCAAACCCAAACAGAGGTGGTTTCAGCTGCAGACAGGAGGGAGGCGGGAGGCCATCTTCACCCGGTTCAAAAATGGTACGGTGCACCCTGAGAGGGGGGGGAGCCGGCTCAGCTTTAGGAACAACGCACTGCAGATCTTGAACCTGCAACCGGAGGACGCCGGAGAGTACCAGTGCAACGGAAAGGTGCTGGGTCAAGTCACCATCCTCCCAGGTGGGTGCCTGTTACCAACTGCTCAGACTGAATGTAATGGATTATTTGGTTGTTCCTCCTGAATAAAATCTCGTTTTCAAAAGGGGTTTTAATTAAGGAAAGATTATTAAATGAAACTCATCAGATCATTTGGACTCTAAATATGATAACTATCATTATAAATCCAAAAGTCAGATCTTGTCTTTTTTCTCATTCTCCCCATGTTTCGTTCTGCCCTTGTGCATTTTAAGTTGAGTTTATTCTTTTGTTCCAACTCAAAATGATTGATTAGTTATACACGGCTTTAACAGCTGGATCAAGGGAGAAATTGATGTGACGTTCTAACATTTTATCACTGGTAATCACTTCTGTGTCATGATCAGGGTGACAGGTTCATAATTTATATGGTGCTCATTATGCAAGTACTGAAATGGTTAAAAACTAGATTTCACTGTAAATATTTAATGCCATTTAAGAGCTTCCAGAAATCATTTGAGGGAATATACAGTATATCTAAGGTATTATGAGCAGGTACCATAGTTCTACTTTCAGCACTTTCTTTCTCTCAGTGCCCCCAGAGCTGACCAGCTTCCAGTCACCCACCAGTACAACTGCATCTGCTGCAGAGACAGAAACAGGTAACATTGAACAGAAGAGCAACAGCAGCACAGAAGGTCATCTGTGGCACAGTTAGGGCTCCGTAAGCACAGTGGAAGGAAATGAAAGGATTCATTAAAGGGTCAACGAAGAAGGCTGCACTACTGAGTTTAAAGTGACTTCACTATAACCTGGTCTGAGCAGCTCAGCTTCAAACCTAACTTAACAAAATTGGTTTTACTTGTCAAACCTATTTATCAGTTAACAGCTAAATTTATGAACATGTGAAAATGGTGTTAATGCCAAAGTAAAACTGATACATTTTTGTAAACCGGTTTGTTATTTCACGTGATAAAGACATTATCACAAAACATTTGCAAGTTCTAAAAGATAATTCATCTTAAGTGAAAATACTCATTCATTAAGTGGATCCTAACAAATTTAAAGAATCTAAGTTTTATTTGACTTTTGAATGTCAAATTGACGTGTATATTCAGTGATTCCGTGATTGGCAGCTCTTGAATTTAATTCATGTCTTTTGGCTGGAGTTAAACATAATTTATTTTCCTGTGCATCATCTGTAATTTTCAGTATTTATACCTGAAAACGTGTGTTTTATGTATTTCTGCAGATATGGTTGAAAAAGAGAAGGAGAAGGAAAAACCTGAGAACGGTTGGTCAGCTACTGTCACCTGAATCATGGTTTTAAAGCTGTTGTGTCAGATGTTTGTCAAGCAGATGTGTGTGTGCTCTTGCTCAGCTTTGCTGCTGGCAGCTGTGGTCGGCCTGGGGTTAATGATCCTCCTCCTGGCTGCAGTTTGTGTTTTACTGACCAGCATCAAGTGCACGAGGAAGAAGAGCAAATACGCAGGTGGGTGGTCTGAGAAAACCACAAGTGTCACCTTTTTTAAAAATAAAATAAATAAATAACAATGAAGAAAAGCTCACATGGCTCAGACAGGCTGAAGAACATCTTCTAGATTTAACAATGTAAAAATCTTCATAAAAACTATAAATGTTTTTATACATTGAAATGCCTGGTTTTGTCCATAAGATGATACAAATAAAAAGTTAATTACAATAATCTACATTTGTTCAGCACCATTCATTCAGAAATACAGCTCAAAGTGTGTTTTACATTTAAAACACCAGAAAACAGAAATAGAGGCGAATATACAGCACACACACAGCATTCAGACCTTATCATGTTTAAGGGCAGCGATTAAAATAAAATACACTACATCACAATGTTAGGTTTCAAAATGAGTCACGTTAAGATAGTATATAAGTCATGAGTAAATAAATAATAAGACTAAAACCTGGATTAAAAGATTAATGAAACAAAGCAGGACTGTGCAGGTTTCCTGATCATGGCTGGATGCTGGATTCCTTGTGGAGCAGCCAGACAGTTCAGTACCACCGGGGCTCTACAGAGCTCCTCTTCAGATACTTTTAGCAAAGCATCTCTGACCACGACATGAGCAGACTGTGAACTTCTTTTCTGTTTTCCCTGTAGCGGTAAAGACACATGACGATCCTGAGCTGCAGCCGTGGACGACGACCACCAGGCAAACTGGTAACGCATCAGCTCTTCTACTACTGACCCCCCGGTGTACATGGCAGTTTCATTATTTCCACATCAACCAGTGGTGAAATATAACTAATTAAGACAGTAAATCAAATGGAAAATATTTTGATATTTCATTAACCATCAGAGTTAGAAATAAAACATTCACTGGTATCATCTTCTGAATCTGGATATTTACTAGTTGTTTTCTATGACAGTGAACTCAGCTTCTAACGTATTTCACTGTTAATATCTTGTCATTCTAAACACTTAATCAGAAATTAATTATCAGACTTACTTATGATGAATATATTTGTTGGATGCAGCAACACACTGGAGGAATGTGATGAAACACTTTACAGAAAATGAACAACAAATACTACAACGTACAACAGTTTAAGATGGAGGACCCAACATAGCTGATATTCTTGTTCAGTGGTGCAAATCTTAACTTTGTGCTGAACCAGATTATGTAGATCAGTGTACGTACATAGAGCAAACCTGTGGCTATGGGAGCCCCCTGGGGTCTGGGGACCATGTGTTTCCCGAGTCCTCACGTGTGTCTTAATCTTGTGTCTCTGCAGAGTGTGAAGTGTTTGAGAGTCTGTCTGTGCCAGAGGAGACGATCCACTATGCCTCCCTGGGCCGACACAACTGGAGGGAGAGACCCAGCAGGACTCCACTTGACTCCAACGTCATCTACTCGTCTGTCGTCACCAGACCTGCTGCACACAGACACACTAACACACAGCGGGCCGCACCATCGCAGTAGCATGAGATGGTTTATATGAAGCGTAATCCTCAGTCAGCACATTCTGTAGGTGTCCAGGTGGGATTAAACCTGATTTACACTCTGTGTAGATCCTCTTTTACTGCACTTTAAGGAAACTCACCTTGCAGCAGCTTTTAAACGCATAACAGAAGACAAACTCCCAAATATTTAAGCTAAAGTTTGACTAAAATTAGAACTGCAATCAAAACATTAATGGTGAAGCACAAAGTAGAAACTAAAGGTTGTACCTGTCGCTTTCTGTCCAGATGACTTCAGAAACATTTGTATTCACAGTAGTGGAAGAAGTACTCAGATCCTTCAGTACAAGTATCAATACCACAGTGTAAAAATACTACTACTACTAAAAAAATTACTTAAGTACAAAAGTATTAGCATCAAAATATACTTGAAGCAGCAAAACTAAAAGTGCTCATTGTGCAAAAAAGGCACAGTTCACATTATTGCATTATTATTATTGATGCATTATTGTGTTTATTACTTTAATATATCAAAATCAATTTCTTAAAAACAAAAGAAAGAAACTGTAGCAGGTGACAGAGAACACAACACAGAGAAGTGCTAATAAAATGGTGGACGCTACATAAACAGCAGACGTTTTGATAGCAGTGACAGTGTTACCCTGACATTTTACATTCATGTTGGATTGTTAGGCAGCAAAAGTAAAGTAACAGCACCGTTTCTACAGCAGTCACACAGTTTACTGGATCTTATGGAAACAGATCAGTGAAATCACTTTAAAAATCGGAGTTAAATGAAAAATATATTTACAGAGAGTACAGAGATTTTTTTCTTCAGCACATGAACAATTTCAGTAGAATATAATACAAAATGTACATAAATGTGTGGCTTTACTTCTCTAGCATATTAAGAACTGCAGTCTTTAGATCTACATGTTTAGATAAAACAAAGAAACTGAATGATAAAAGGGGCCAGAGAAAGGAACTTTCTCACCAGCAGGTGGTGACATTACTACAACAACAGTCTGGGCTATCTGTGGTCATGTGACCCTTTCGGATTGTTGTGAATGGTCACAGTGGAGTATATGACATCCTCTTCGACCAATCGTATCCCTCCTCGTCCAGAGGGGCGGGGCTTGTCGGCATGCCGCAGACTGGAATAATGCAAAGCCACTTCCTGCAGAGACAGTAAACTAGTTGGTCTGCGTTTCTCAGGTGCGATGTGTTTGCTGCACTGTGTGACTGTGACCCCCGGTGACGGCTGAAAACATTTTGTCTTGTAAATAAAGTGACTTCTTGTCAGCGAGTGCCATCGTCCTCTGGGATCATTGGTAGGTAAAATAAGGATAAGGAACTAATTCTTTTGAAAGTCTACATGCAAGTTTGGTGATGTATCAAAGTAAAGTCGTTTATGACCAGAAAGGTTTTGTGTAAAGACATTAAAAAAATAATCTAGTAATAATGAGAAAAGTTATTGTCAACAGTATAACATGTCTACATGTAATTTATGTAAAATGGGATAAATGTAAAATGAGAAAATCGACCTCCAGCTAAACCTGCCATGTCAGGAATATTTAAAGACAGACTCCATATGGTTTCTACAGGACTCTGGTGATGCAGGTGTCCGCTGTTTTCAATAGGTTTTGGTAAAGCTTCCAGTTCTGGCATCACATAAATTAAAACAGTAGAACTGGCACAGAAGAATGTAGCTGGTCCAAAAATCTAAACTAATGTGGATTTATGCCAAAGGGCAAAGTCAATCACTGAACAGAACTGAAACTGAGGGGTTAACATCAGTGAAACATGTTAGTAGTAACCCATCCATAATTAAAACCAATATTAAAAGGAAATGTGTGGATTACCATCAGAAAATGTCAAAATGATATGAAAGCTTTTATGTTTATGCTGTTTCTGGTCTGATGAAGAAGGAAGGAAATAAAAATGAAAGCGAAGGAGAGGGAACCAACCAGGAAACCGTGTAAGCGCAGTCTGGCAAGAGTGGTAAAAGAAGAGGTGAAAAGACAGAGCAGGGCTGGTTTTCTTGCAGAAGAGTTAGAGAGCGGACAGGTGACCTCCCACTGACCTCTGTGACCCTGGCACTGGAGCCCCTTCTCCATGACTTACAGCAGCAAACAGCTGGTTTACCTGCAGACGAAGGAGAGGGTGAGCATGGGCTAAAGTTGAACAGCAGGTTGTACCTGGCCTGACACTCAGGTGTGTTCACACAAACAGCATGAAAATCAGCTGGCTGTCTGTTCGAGTCTGGCTTCAGCAGTTAGTACAGCTCACTACTGTTTTATCAGATCTGAATGCTGATTCTGCCTTTTCACAATGAAAAGCAATCATTCATTCAGTGAAGCTGAATAACTGCCATTTAGCAAACTGTCAGTTTATTAGGAACACCTGTCTCAAACTAAGTCAGTCTAACCCAGCAGTCCAGTAATAAATCGTCTTTCAGGACACCGTTCACTTCAGTTTGTGTTCAGACTGCTTCAAACCTTTACTGACGGACAGTGAAGACACACTGGGTGTGCAGTTGCAAAAGCCCAGCCCCCATACCAGGATCAGACTTTCTGTCGGCGTAAGTGAAAGTGAAAGTATGAAAGTGAAACTAGGGCGAGGTGTTTTTGTCGGAGGAGCAGGCACAAACTGAGCTCTGTTGATTCCTATTGTGTTTTTTCTATTTTTGTCTGTTTTCTATTTTACTTTGCTTCTCTGAGACGACTTTGCTGTAAGGGAAGAGCAGGCTTCCTCCTCTCCTGCTTCGCTCGTCCTCTCAGCACCATGCCAGACATTAATCTGTGTTTGGAGGCTCTGTCGGCTCTTTCCGGCTGCAGCGTCGAGCTGACCAGTGGCACCTCCCAGCTCACTCCCCAGGACTTTGTCAACATTGTGGCCCTTAAGGAGTTTTACAAGCAGGAGGGGTTTAAGGAGCTGGAGTACCCCAGTCTAGGGACTCTGTCCCTGCAGGACGTGGATGACCAGGACCTGTACGGGAACCCGCCGGCACTGACCGAGGGCCCAGAGCTCCAGAGCCTCAGGACCACTGTGAGGATCAACCCTCAGGACTTTTTCCATCCAAAGTACGACTACGACTTCACCAACATCAAGGTGAGAGGAGAGAGAGGCCTGAGGTCACATGACACAGGCCTGGCATGATGCAGCACTGACTGAGGCGTGAACTCAGCTCGTGTTAGTCTCACTTGTCCACTCACATTCTGAATAACCATGATTTTAAATGTCTAAAGATGAATAACGATGTCATCTTCATATTGTACCTGCTTGTTTGGATGAATTCACTTCAGTTTGAGCAAAATGTCAAATATCATGTTAATACACATACTGAGCTGCCGTGGGTGCGTGAATGAAGAAATGACTGGGTGAGTGATTTCATGCTAGCAGAACCAAATGTGTTCCAGTAAGTAAGTGAACAAGTGAGTGGATGATTAATATTAGAGTAAAATGTGGTTGCAAGTGACTGAGTGAATATCATGTCAATTTAGCCATTCGTGTTTAAATGAGTGGGTAAATGAACAGGTGAGTATGAGTGAGTGTATGTGTGAAAGCAAAAGGAAAAGTGAGTGAGGTGAAGAAACATGAATAAATTAGTGAATTCATGATAGAGCAAAGGTGGGAGTGAGTGAATATCATGCAGTAAGAGTGAATGAGACATGAGTATGAATGAAGTAACTGAATGAATATGAATGAGTGATCAAACTAAAACCAGGGGAAAGTGGCTGAATGGGTCTGTGAGTGAGAATGAAAGTGAGCTAGTAGGGGACAGTAGAGTCAGAGCACAATGAGTGTGGGACTGAGCAGGATTTGTGCTGTACATATTATTAGCATAGTAGCATCTTCCTGTGAGTGTGTCCAGCTCTGACTCTGTGAACCTGTTGCCTCCAGGATGGCAGCACCAAGTTCCTGCGTGGTAATGAGCAGTACATTCGTCCCTGTGGCTGGAACCGTGTGGCCCTGCAGGTCATCCAGAGGTATGCCGATGGGAATTCCTGGCTCGGGACAGGAAAGGATGCCTGGCCCGTCTCCTACCAAGGATACAGCATGGATGGCTCCCTCGGCATTATCCTGACCCGTGGTGCATGCTCCAGTGACGAGCCCCAGTTTCTGGATGTAGCTGCCGCCTCTCTGAATAACAGCGAGACGAGGGGTAGAGGGGTGTACTCCACACCAGACATCAAGATGGCGGAGCAGTACTGCAAGCAGTTCACGTCCAGAGTGGACGGGAAGAAGTACAAAGTGGTTCTTCAGAACCGCATCAACCCACAGAAGAGAACCAAGTGCCAGAGAGAAGATGTGTGGCTGGTCTATATCCCCGAGGGCCACAACGATGTCCAGACCAGGGCCATCGTGCAGGAGTCCATCCGCCCGTACGGGCTGCTGCTGAAGCAGGCGTGAGCCCGGACGTGGTCTGGGTTTCATTATCAACATGAAGCCTTGGAACAATCATTTCTCTCCTTTCCACTAATGTCAGGTAAATGCTGCTGAGGAGGTCTGTAGGTTCAGTGTTCCTCAGTTGGCTCATGTGACTCCCACAGCTCCTGGATGTTTGCACTGCAACCCAGGGAGCACCGTTCTCACTAAGCATTAATCTAAGAACACCGCTGTGGGATGGATAAACTGTATAGGCACATTTTAATCCTGAAAATCACTTTGGCTTTTCTAAATATATTTGCATGACTTAGACTATTCACAAACCATAAATAGTAGTGCCTTAATTTGAGTTCATGTTAGAAATCAGTTTAAGTTTGGGGATTTTTTCCAAGATTGAAGGCTGTAACTAATACAAACCTGAACATAACTCCCTGCAGCTGTTGTCAAATCTAAGGAACGACTGAGGAACACAAAACCAACGTAATATCCTGGGAAACTGGTCGGTGTGGGTCTGCTGTATGTGCTGCCATCTAGTGGTGTGTTGTGGTATTTTTCTTTTTAGGAGAATTCTGCAGAATGAGCTAACAGTTTCAGGGTGGTGAGCATGAATGATGCTAGAAGAGGATTTTCAGATTTGAATTATTACCTTTCTTTTGCTGCCTGCTTGCACAAAATGTCTGTCACTGAACTGCACCGATGAGGTTTCATTATACTGTAATTACAGATGTCAAGTCATCTAATGTGCTGAGCTGCTTGTAAGATCTGGTCACTGAGGCACTTTCACCTCTGGACTAGAGTGTGATTCAGTTTCCTGGCTGAATTTTAATTGAAGATGCTGTGAGGTTTTTCATAGTGCTATCATTTTGTGAATACTGCGGCTGTCTGTTAATTACAGAATACCTCTGTTCATCTCATGTACTGTACCCCTTATCTTTACTTTTTGTAGTCCATACAAATAAAACTATAATTTCCCAGGATACACACAGTACATGTTGCTGGCATGTGTGCTTCCCTGATTTTCATAAGGTCTCGCTGGAAGTTTATTAAATCCAGTGCACAAAACCTGGTATCAGCAAATTATGACCGTATTATTCTAATATTTAACAAGGTGATATATTATCTAGATAGTTTTATTGTGAAAAAGCATGTGACACAATTCCAAATGATATATTAACACTACAAAATGTACAATTTCAGATTATTTGTGTTGAGTGCTGCACTTTGCCTATGTCACCGTCACCAACCACTAAAGGTCAGATATCAATAATACCAGTGTTTTTCTGTGTGCGTGATACTGGCTGAGGGGCTGTACAGTGTGGCACAAACACACTTGTTTACTTGTTTGTACTCATAAAAAGAGAACCTTCATTCAACCAAGTACCAAAAACCATGCACGTTATGGTGTCACGTTAGTAGAGATTTGTTTTCCTGGTAAAACAAAGGTTAAATAGTCAAAGGCCAAATATTCATGACAAAGTTGTATGTTTGTAGTTCAGTGCAGTCTAAACAGGATCTGTCATTTTTTAAATAACATCCCATCATCTTACAGCAGCAGAGAACCTGGCAACACTACAGTGAGTTAGGTCTCATGTTAACAAGCTATACTGCCACCTTGTGTATGAAAAGATGTACTGTATGTAACGCTGCCCTCACATATGAACAGAACCTTAAACATCACTGCATGTGTAAACCCAGTCTCTCCACATCCTTCACCTCCACTCCACAGAGAAGCAGATTCAGTGAACCACACACCTGAGCACAGGTAGATTCCGAAGATGATGACGAAGCAGAGGGTGAGTAGCGCCGGGAGAAAACAGATTACCAAAGTGAAACAAGGCTGCCTCATTTCGTCTCTGGCTGTCGCCTTGTCTGCAAACACCAAATATGGGGATTAAGTGGTTCATTGGTTGATATTTTGAGCTCAGGTCTTCTTGTAGAGCTCAGCTTGTATTAATCCCTCATTCCCTGAGGCCTGGAGCACAGAGCTGCAGTTTAAAGGGTTATGTTACACGGATTTCAGTACTTGTTTTCATTTTCCTGAGAACCTGAGACACTGCAAATCTGATTTTTTGAGAAACATCTATAGTTTGCATGAAGCTACAGGCTGTTTTCATGCACCTGCAACCTTCCCAATGTGAAACATGAAAAAACTAAATGCAGCAGCTCCGAGGAACCAAAGTCACAGCTGCTGTGGCCAAACAGCAGCATGTGTGTGTGAGATTTGGTCATATGGGTTCACTTTAACTGTAACTACAAACTGTGTGTCTTAATAAGCAATTGTTCAAGTCTCACAGACCTTTTTGAAATTTTGGTGGAGTTCCAAGAGTTTCCAGAGACACCAGATTAAGTTTTAGTGACATGTCTGGAATGATGCATAAAGTCTGGATATGGTCATATTTCATTTCCTGTTTTTAATGTATTGCTGCAGAAACATGCAGTAACGGGGTTGTCGGTATGAACAACAGGCAGCGTCAGTGAGCAGCCGAGGGACAAGTTGCTACACACTGTAGAGTTGTTCAGATTTAAAGAGAAATTTAGGGGAAGTTTGCACATTGCTCGGTTCTGATTGGCCCAAATGAAATTTCTCTCTCCTACATAGATTTTTGTTTTTACAAAACTCCTGCAGAATCATCCATTTTAATCACACATTACCATAAAACCAAAGACTCTCTTTACATCTGTCTTCTACTTTATTTCTATCTTGTTTCTTTGTCACCTCCCATTTTTCAGCTGTGTTCCTGCTCTGTATATTTTTGCCATGCTGGCTTTGGTTATTTAGTGTAACTGGTTCCCAATCTATGGGTCAGGTCACTTATAAGGGTCTCAAACAATCTGAGGGGTCATGAGAAGATTAATGAAAGCGAAAAGAAGAAAAAAAACAATGATTGAAAAAGCTGTGATACACAATTATATTTTAAACATTTAAAAAGTTTTGATTTGTGGTGAATGTTTTGCATGTTTACAGTTATTTACTGTAAATGAAACTGTTCAGAGGGGAGATCGGTGCCAACGCCTCATCTCTCTGTAACAAGCTAAAACTGATAGATAAATAAAAACCCTCTTACCATTCATCATCAGATAAATTCCTCTGTTAACACAAGAATAGCCTGGACACCGCCAGATGCAGAAGTACAGTCCGGCATCCTGCTCCTCCACCCCCAGGATTTCCAGGCTGACCGGGCCTCTCTCCAGAGCTCCGCTGCTCTTGAAGCGACTGTCTGCAGTGTGAAACATGACTTCATCTCCCCCTATTTTCCCTGATGAAACAGTGAGCAGAGGCAGCAGCTTGTCTGACCGCAGCAGGTACCAGGTCACCTCCATGCTGGACGTCAGGTTACAGGTCAGTGAGACGTTCTGCCCCGCCTGGACCACCTGGGCAGAGTGGAGAACAGGTGAGGCTGAACACAGGTGACATCCTGCAACACCTGGGGAGAAGGTAAAGAGCAGACAGGTGAGGAGGGGACGCTACCAGCCTGGCAGCCCTGTGCCTGATCCTCAGACCTACAGCCTGTCTGCTTTCATTTCAGCTGTTGTTTTTAGGTGAGCACAAACTACACACAATGAATGATCAAACAATAAACTTAAGTCTTTGAATGGCTCCAAACTGGAGCTTGAATTTCATGTCCAAAGTACGCGTACCCTGGCTGCATGTGCAACTTTATAATCCAGCTAAAAAATAAACATTAACTTACAAAGGAAAGTGAGCATCGGTGTGAGCCCTGCCATCAGTGAGTAAACTGTTGCCCAGGTTTGCGCAGAAGCTCCAGCCGGAGGACTGATCAGTTGTATGAGCGCAGTATGACTGTGGTAGGAGGAAGCGAACGGGGACTTATGACAGCGGAGACCACCAACAGGTCTCTGCTGATGCAGAAAACGGAACATGGAATATTTTTCAACTGAACACACACCACATACACCGCTCTCTGCTCACATATTGATGAGCCTGCAACAGTTACCGTAGGTTTCGTTTCTGCGCGCATCGGTTAAACTCCGAGTAAGCTGCGGTGACAGGCTTCAAAATAAAAGCAACACAAAATTCCCCTAATGGAGAGGGATAAGATAGACGGGTACTTTTACTTTGGCACACAAACAGGAAGTCGAAACTTAAAGCGAGGGTGATAAATTTGAGCTCATTTGTGATGAGACATTTAAATCTATTCAGCGGAGGAAAGAGACGATGAGTGAACTAAGCTCCCAAACAGCAGGCATCATGACAACATTTATAACGAGACTCTGGTAGGAAACGCTTCACCTTGTTTTCAGGCTTTACTGTCATTTGGAGTTTGTTTGTTTGTTTTATTTAAATCACAAGTTTTTATTTTCAAAGAATTTCCTGCGTTTATGCAGGATGAGCAGAGGCGGGTTTTTCACTCCATAAGTCAGTAAACAGCTGCAGGAGACGCTGTGTCTGCAGGATAAAGCACTGGAGCTTGTTCGCCTTCGGTCTGTGCAGGTTTCCCACAGCAGCAGTCAGTCAGTCAGTCAGCGAGTGGGGCGACCGCAGGACGCACAAACCCGGCAGTTTCGTTTTCGAGGAAGTCCCAGATCAGGATAAATGAGCAAGAGCAAGAGCGTAAAGCGAAACTTAGCCGTAAATAAACCCCGTGGGTTAGTTTCCTATTGGCTTCAAACATCCTCACCAACCAGCTCAATTTAGAAATGAATTATCAGTGGATGGCTATTTACTCAGGTATTGTGAGGGTACTTGAGTATTTTATTTTACTTCACTGCATTTCAGAGAGACGTATTGTACTTTTACTGCAATGCATCTGTGCGACATCTGTCATTACAGATGAACATTTAAATAGTGAGAGGTTTTTATAAGTTTGGCCTGCCGCTAACATTTCTCCTCCTCATCCCACGGGGTCTGTTCAACTCTAGTAAAGCAGTGATGACAGTTTCCCGAGTCCCAGGTGACCAAAACCCACAGTCAGTCAGTTTCTAATGACAGGAGACAGAAGCAGTAAATCCTCAGCTGAAACAAGCCACTGGCCTTTCAACTGAGACATGATGATGACTCGAATGTCAAAGTGCTTTCAACTCATTTCAGTCACATCATAGGGAGTACACCATGTATTACTTTACACAGAGTAGATCAGGTAGTTCACATGAGCTTCATCTCAACCAGCTACAACTTTAACACGTTGCTGACATGTTAGTTCAATAAGTTTTGCCCTTTTAATAGAACAGCTGAGGTTCTGCATCTGCTGATCAGAAACCTTAATCAGAGGGACACAATCAAATCGACAGCCGATGACTAAAGTTGTTTTCTGATGTTTATTCCAGGTGTTTCATACATCTTCAGTGTTTCCTCGGTGGCAGTTCAGTTGGTGAGTACCAGCCTGGTGTTGATTTGGTTAAGTCAGCAGAGTAGACTCCTGTGGTAAGTCAGTAACGGGAGGCAGCAAGTCCACGTCATCACTTAGTTAAAGATTTGACTAGGTTTAATTTGTGGTTTGCTCAGACTGTGGGCGAAGGATTTCTGAACATTTTAAATATCTTTTTATGATGTAAATGAACCACTGTGTCCTACCAAGTCAAAGCTTTTGATATTACAGCACCTACATGTAGTGGACGGCCACCCTTTTTGTTTTAGGACTTTAGGGCTCACTACTCTAGTTTGACACAACAAGGTCCACTGACTTTTCTGGAGCTTTCAACCATGTCACAAGGTCAAGAATGATATTTGATGCTTATGTGTAATCAGCCTGCACAAGAAGTCTCAACACTGCTTTGGAATCCTAACAGCTGATGTGTCAGCAGAGCAAACATCAGCTGATGAAGACCATGTGATATGGCAGAAAGCTCTGGGAAATGAAAGTGGAGTTTGAGGGTGGATTGCTTTGTCAAACTGGTCTAGTTTGTTTGGTTGTCAGCACATTTGATTCTTTTTGTTTCCTTGTTATTGGTCCATTTCTAACACGACAGTCCTTCAGAGGGCCTCCACACTGCTCTGGACATCTCCTCCAATTCCATCTTCAATGCTTCTCTTCTTCCAGACTCCTCTTCTCTGTCCTCCAACCCCCACATTCTGGCCGTCACCTCCACAGTGGGGAGCCAGGTGGTCCTTCCCTGCAGCTGGAAGTCCCGCCTGGGGGAGGGGGCCCTGTCCACCTGCCACATTCGGTGGACATCCGCCATCAAGCTGGTGTTTGAACAGCAGGGAGAGCAGCGGTGGCAGGCGGAGGAGTTTGTGGGCCGGGTGGAGGTTCCTGAGGAGAGACTTGGGTCCGGGGACTGTTCTTTGATCATCAGTGATGCTCAGCTCGGAGACACGGGGAGATACGAGAGCTTCATGGTGGTGGACGGAGTGAGGTCTGCGAAAACCAGGGTCTTCATTCAGAGCGTCAAGCTGTCTGTGCTCGGTTAGTTCAGGGTCTGGATGGTGGGACTCTCTCTCCTGTTTCTTCTTGTTCCTTTACATCTACCCTTTGTCCTCTTTCTTCTCAAATTATTTCTGCTCTCTCTGTTCATTGCTCTGTTTGTTGTAACAACCAGAAACCTTTCTCAGTTTTACAAAATCCTTCTCACTGTGGGACAGTTTCCAGTGACCCTGCACAGGAGAACCAGTAGAGATACAGTACAGGATGGACTGTCCTTGAATCAGTTGTGTGACTGTAGGCTCCTCTCCATAGGGAACAAACTAACTCAGCGCACAAAGTTTGGTTTATTCAGATGCTGATTTTGTGAGAGAATTTGTGATCTAATGAGATTTCTCATCTCTGTAGATCCTGGTGTCTTTATTCCAGGTCTTTAATGTTGATGTTCTTTTTCCTACTGTCAGACCACAAATCTCTGCAGTCTCGTGGTCTAGGTGAGGACCTGGTTCTGGATCTCCACACTCCTCACTCTGTGAGACTGGTCTTCCAGGGAAGGTGAGCTGTTTCTTCTGGTTTTCTACAAAACTGAGTAAAACTGCAGTTAAGGCCTTCACCTTTATTGACAATGTTTACATTCACATCCTCCGTTTTTCGCTTTTGCATCGTCTTCGTTTCTTTTTTTTTGTTCTCCCTACACTTATTTCATCTTTTTCTCGTCTCATCTCTGCTCCCACCTTCTTCTGATCTGTTCTTTCCTCAAATGGCTTTTAAAAAAAAAAAAAGACGCCTACAGACTTTCGGATTATAGGCTGCTGGTAAAATTATGAGTCACCTGATAAACTTTGACGACAAAATCCAGTGGGTTCTGGACAAAACAGCGATGGCTTTATGTACAAAAACTTTCCACATGAAACAACATTTGTTTTTTTTCCTTACTGATGCGTCATGCTCCATCAACACATTCACCAAAATTTTCCTTGATGTAAGCTGCACAACAGACGTGGGGACACCCAATATGACACATTTGCATGTCCAACAGCTCGTCTCAGAGCGCAGAGCAAACTAAACATCACGAGTCACTTTGTTATACAGCCCAGCAGCACACAGCCAGCTGCTGTCTAGGCCGACCTGCTCCTGCTGCTGCAGCACAGTGAGCTCCTCTTCGTCAGAGCTTAACATATCGTTATTGCTGAGCAGAAATTATGTTTTCAAAGAAATTACCTTGTTTTTATAAGATCTGCTCCAGAACTTTTTTTTTTGGACCCAAATTAGCAGACTGACAGCATCTTGGGTTGCGCTGTGCTCCCCAGAGGAGGAGCCCTTTTGATTTAATGGCACTTTTAGCACCAGGTTCTGAATTAACTTTATGTTTTAGCTGTTCTACTGTGTTTCACATTACCTGCAGCCTCTTGGGGGCGCTGTCTGGCTTTAAGTCTTGTCTTTTTGCATTCACAGTGTCAGGCTGCACCTTGTTCCAACAGTTACTTCTCTGTGCTTTCCAGGAGCGGCTCCGAGTGGTTGGACCTGTGGGTGAGGGGGGATGAAAACAGTCAGCGTCTGGAGAAACACTCCATGAAGGAGCAGCTGACGATAAAGAAGTTAAAGCGCTCGGACGAAGGCACATACAAAGTCCTGGATGAGCAGGGCCTCTCTGTGAGCACTGTGCAGCTCTCTGTGGAAGGTGAGAGTCCTGAGGCGCCGGGATGAACTGCAGAAATCTCAGCAACAGTTTGATAGTTCCTGTTACTGTATCTCAGTGAGGGCTGTGTGGTTAGAAAGGTTCAGTAGCTATAGCAGTACAAGAACTGGTGCAGATGTTTTGTTGAAAACATTTTCTTGTTGTGCTCTTGTATTGTTAAATGTAAGGTGAAGTGGCCTTTCAGGTTTCACTTCATCAGCTTTAAGTGAAGGGAGAAAATTCCCTTGATCATTATTTAGCCTGATTCCACAGAATAAGGCACCTCTCCAGTTCATCTAGACTGGCACATGTGTAGTCTGTTTTGCACAAAGTCTTTCATCATGCAGGTTTAATTTCATTTGATCACGTTTAACTAATCTAAGTCGTTTGTGCCACAGAACGCTCCACATCTCTCAAAGTCCGGCAGGTTATGGAAAATGAAATACCAGCAGGTGAGAAAACAACACTCTGTCAACTAAAGCAGAACTAGAGAAGACTCACATGATGTGAAGTGTTTCCCTGTCCCCTGACCCTGATGTCTTTCCAGGTGACGCTACCAGAAGCAGCTGTTCAGCGCTTCTCATCTGGTCTCTTCTTGTCACGAGTTTCCACATTCTTCATCTGCTCTGATTCCAGAACTGCACATAGCTATTAACAGCAGCTTTGCACAGTAACAGCATATGTGTGACAGTGTGTGTGCAGTGTACACTTCAAGTTAAGTACACAGTGACAGGTAGGTGTGAGAGGGAGAGATGTGGTCTGAGTAAAGAAAAGGTTTTCTGTTTGTCTAAAACAACCCTGGGTCTAAGCTTTAAATGCCACTCTCTCATTTCTGTCCAATAATTATGGAACTGGAGTTGTTACATGGTTAGCTTAGCATAAAGACTGGAAACAGAGGGAAACTGGCTCAGTCTGCAGTTCAGAAATACACCATCTCAAACTCTCTTATTGATGCCTAGTAACTATCTTACAAAACATCAGTAAATGAGGTGTTAAACATCAATATATCAGTTAAAACTTTATTAATGGTGCCTGAGCAGAAAGCAGCACCCTAATACAAAATAATTACGTTATATATGTCTAAGATATTCAAATGTTAATTTAAGACTAATCAGGGAAACCCAGTCATCAATTTCTTAGTTTAGAGAAGCCAAAGCTTCACAGATCGACAAAACTGGGGGAATTCGACCATGTGTGGGTAAAGACAGCTGCCGTCAGGCTAATTTTGTGTTTTTTCACATATTTACTCAGTACATGTGAATCAGTGGATGAGGTCACAGTGTACAGAAAGACTTTGTCTTGTCTTTACTTTTACAAAACCTTGAAATTAATAAATATACAAGTGTGAATGATTGTCTTAGCTTGTTAGTGGTAGAGAAAAAGTGCAATATTTTCCCCTGAACCATAGTGGGTTTGATATAAGGCAGTATAAGAAACGACTAAATGACCAAATAACAAATAAATTGAAAAAAGAATGGTCATATTAATGGTTCATGGAGAAACAGACTTCATTACACTTACTATCAACAACAGTTAATTTGCCCTTTGCTGTGATTTGTCTGAGGTGAATGTGTGGAGTGTGCTCACTCTGATATATGATTAGCATGTGGCATGATATTTATTGTTTCATAAATCTAAAAGAGAATTATAGTAAACCAACAGACACCGTTGTGTTGCATTTCCATGCTTCATTGATAGACTCCACAGGTCCACACTGGACTGACAATATGTACAGACGGACACCACTAAAAGCAGCTAGAGAACTAAGCAAAGGCACACGACAACCTCAGCAGCAGGTTTTGTTCAGTGTCTATAACAAACTGGGGGAGAGCATCTTTCAGATGTTCAGTCTGGTGATATTCTACAATTTTCTTGCCAACAAATCCGATGTGCAGACCCAAACCAGCAGTGACTGTCTCCTGCTAACGCGTCCTGTGCATCACCGTTAAACCCACCATTGACCACACTACTTCACTGGATGACGTGTTCCTTCATCACCATGAACACACACTGGAGTTTACGCTGACTCAGCCGTCAGCCCCTCACACACACACACACACACTGTCCTGCTGCCACAGACACTCACTATAGACCAAATGTGCATTCATCCGCTGCTGAAAATAGTCCCAACCTATGCACCCTTTCCTCAATTTTGTTTGATAAAAATCCAGCAAGCAGCGTTTTGTGAAAATCACTGATCCTTGTGTAAAAAATGAAACACTATGTTTGTAAGGTATTTGTAAAGATGTCTTCAGTAAGAACCAATGGACATGAAGCCAAGAGCCACAGACTGTAGAGAAGCCAAAGTACTGGGAGACGAACCAACACTGTGCTGGTTTGGATTTTTTATGGTATTTGCTGTGTACGTCTCCTCTTCTGAGTTTTTCAAGCAGTATATTCACAAGTACTTCTCTCACTACAGCAGTATCTATAGAAACACTATGCACCTTGTAAATAACATGTACAAATAAAAGGTTGAATTCATCAGTGATAACATGAACCTTTGCTCAGTTCATCTGCCTTAGACATGGCCACTGCTCAACCACAGTTACACAGTTCTGCTTTAATTCTGAAAAAAAAAAAAAAAACAAGTCCAGATTTGCCCCCTAAACACTTGGTCTATGAAGGAGGGTCTTGTTGATTTGGTGAACTTTTAATCAGTAGTTTACATATAAATACTTTAAACATGCTGCTTAGATTTTCTTGACTCCTGTTTCTTGCTTCTTATTTATGTTTCTGATTATTTATGTCACAGAGAAGAAGTGGTTAAATCATCAGGTCTTAGGATGTTTTTTTAAACACAGTCACTTTAGTTCAAGTTCTTGCATAAGTTCCTCTTGTGAAGGTCTAAGGACGGAATAAGGTTTCACAGTTTTCCTCACCTCGGGAATGACAAATGTAAAGTAAACACTTTCCATTTCCACTCTGATCCGGCGAGGATGTCAGCTCGTCTGCCCTCACTCATCTCTGACTCCACTTGTTCTTCAGCTGGTAAGAAAAATGTCTTAATGCTTTCACAAACCTACAGAAGGAAACTTGGGTTTGTTGCTGAAGTGCAGCCTCTTGGTTTTGCTCCTAGACTCTGGGAGTTCAGCACTGGTGCTGAACATAAGGAAGGAGCTGTTCGGGCCTACTAGAAGTTGGGTTTGTGCTTCTTGACCTCGACCATGAGGTGGTGCAGGTTGATGAGCTCGGAGCGCACGGCCAGGCTGCGAAACGTCGGCTGATTCAGGATCTTGTGGAAGCCGTGGTAGTACTGGATCAGTTGGGTCAGAGCGCCCTGCAGCAGGAAGAGGAAGTGCTGGTTTATCTCTTTTTCCATCACTCACTGCCTCTTACACAAACACCACATCACTGGGACGTTGAACACATTATCAAAAAAGTAATGGAATCACATTAAAAGGTTCAGTTTTACAGTGAATGCTCAGTACTTCTAGTAGCACTTATAAACGTCTAATTTCACATATTTGTAGCTTACAAGCTGTTAATCGTTTTGAGACCTGCACTTGTACAATTCAAACTTTAATTCTGGTTAACGAGCGACAGCATCCACACACCAGGGGGCGCTGCAAAAAAAGGGTTAACAACCTGCTGTACAAACAGTATTGGCACTAAGATGATAGCTGCAGTAACAGCAGCAGAGTCAGCCTTTGTAATGTTGCCCACTAGAGTCATGTCACCAACACACCCACTGTCTCACCTGTATGATGCTGGTCCCATTCTTAAAGTTAGTGAAGGACCTCATGACGTCCTGACTCATCGACTCCACAGACTGTTTCCATGTACTGGAAAAGCCCCGGACCAGCTGAGTGATACGAGCTGCACACAAACAGACAGGAGGGTTAGACTGCGGTAAATGTCCTGAACTGTTAAAACCGTTCAGTCATCACAAAATTTGGCCGACTGTCATGTTATTCTCTCCTTCCTGTGCGAGGCTGGGGCTGTTGCTTGTGTAGTTTTACACATCATTTCACACATCAAACTGTGCAGGTATGAAGATGAGAAGAAACGAGAAAGGATGTGTGAAGCTGAAGTGATGACATAGAAATTCTGCAGAAGAGAAACTAAACTGAAAGGATGTAAATGTTTCAGAATGAAAGTGGCTCATTACTCCGTAAAACAAAACCAAAGCACCAACTGAAGGGAACTGGGTGAGGCTGCACTGTTCACTGATTGCAGGCTCAGGTCTTCTAGTAATCTTTATTTTATTTCAAAGTTTAAGCATATAGAAAACCTCAAAAGACCTGACAGTGTGGGGATGGACAGTGAGCCACAACCGCAAGTCAACAGAGGCTACTTCATGGTAGCTCAGTCCATTTGCTTTCTAATAATCAATAAAGGGAATAATAAATCTAACAAATGTACAGTATGAGTCCAACAGAAGAAGCTAATCACGTCCAGACAAAGACAGAGAAACAAATCACAGGGGAGTGGAGGCAGATCTTCCCTCTCTTACCCTTTTAGCTATTTTCATACAAATCATTAACCCCTGCCAGGTCTCATGTGGGGCGACCTGTCCAGGGCATACCCTGCCTCCCGCCCACTGTCAGCTGGGATTGGCACCAGCCAATCGGTATAGATAACAGATAGATGGGTCTCATGTGACAGTGGATCAAACATTTTCTACCAACGCTGTTTTGCTTCAGGGCAGAACAGATATGAGTCAGAGTCCTGTCACCCGATTTACATTAGCCACAAACAACCAACGGAGAATCCCGTGTAATCCCACAGCTCATCAGATGTCTCACAACCAGCCTCCTCATTCCAAACCTCTCTGAGGTAATTCAGGGTGCCTTCCTAGATGTCATGGCATGTTGAAGCTTTGCCCTTCATCCCATCCTTCAGCTGTTCTTTAGAAAGCCACAACAGTTTCTATTTGACGATTTATAACTCTTCAGAATCCTGTCAAGTAAGAAAGAAAATATCAAACCAGTAGCACTCAGTGTTTCTGACCTTCCTCATTCTTCAATCGGTCCAGCTGCCCTTTCTCCATCAGCGCCTCAGCCTCCTTCACGAAGGTGATCATCCCTCCAAAGGGGGGAGACAGAATCTCCTCGATGAACTCCTGAAGGGGGGGAGGAAGTGACCAACTTTGACCGGTTATTTACTTCTATTATTACAGGAATGTGGTCATTATTATAGTTTACTAAAGTACTACTACAAAGAACAAAAACATTCTAATTATATTTACTTATTAAATCCATAACAATACTGCTTCTCTGTTACATAATTTCAAAATCTGCCTAATGATAGAACTCCATGTTACTTCACTGCCTAAACTCCAGTTTACTATTTCACCAGGTTTTAACCAGTGTTGTCTCTGTGAGCCGAGTCATGACCTGTCCCTCTTTTATTAAACCTGCAAATGTGTCCGTTTAAGCCGCCGTCTCACACACCATAAAGTCTGGTTTGCAGGTGTATAACAACATACTTATCTTTGTTCCTTGTAGGATGATTTTACAGTATCTCTTGTGGAAGAGTATTTTTTTTCTTTCTGGATTTATTTTCTGCTAGTCGGTGTGTAACTTCGCTAAAACAATGTCGGACTCCGTAGTTTTCTCTGGACCCCTACCCAATGTGACCAGTGATGACATGTTTAGCCGCATGTCGTCATTCAACCGCTGGCTGTCTAGGTGGTGCCCAGAAAATAACGTGGGCTTCATAGACAACTGGAAAACATTTTGGGGAAAACCTGGTCTGATTAGCAGAGACGGCATCCATCCCACTTTGGGTGGTGCAGCTCTATCTGGACGAGTTTGTTTTACAACCTAAATTATGACAACCCAGAGTTGAGTCCAGGATGCAGGGTC